TGATGAGGATAAGCCGAGAATGATGAGGATAAGCCGAGAGGTGATTAGGATAAGCCAAGATTGATTTGGAGAAGCCGATATTGATGAGGATATGCCGAAATTGATGAGGATAGGCCGAGATTGATGAGGATATGCCGAGATTGTTTAGGATAAGCCGATATTGATGAGGATAAGCCGAGAATTGATTAGGATAAGCCGATATTTGATTAGGATCAGCCGAGGTTGATGAGGATATGCCGAGATTGATTAGGACAATCCGAGGTAAATGGGAATGGCTCCAAATTGATGAGGATATGCCGAGAATGATTAGGATAAGCCGAGATTGATGAGGATAAGCCGAGATTGATTAGGATAAGCCGAGGTTGATGAGGATAAGCCGAGATTGATCAGGACAAGCCCAGAATGATGAGGATAAGCCGAGATTGATTAGGATAAGCCGAGGTTGATTAAGGATAAGCCGACATTGATGAGGATAAGCCGAGAGAAATCGGAATGAGTCGAAATTGATGAGGATAAGCCGAGACTGACGAGGATAAGCCGAGACTGATGACGATAAGGCGAGATATATGAGGATCAACCGAGATTGACTAGGATAAGCCGATGTTGATTAGTATAAGCCGAGATTGAATAGGATATGCCGAGATTGATTAGGATGAGCTGAGATTGATTAGGACAAGCCGAGGTAAAGGGGAATAAGTCGAGCTTGATGAGGATAAGCCGAGATTGATTAGGATAAGCCGAGATTGATGAGGATAAGCCGAGGTAAATGGGAATGAGTCGAAATTGATGAGGATAGGCCGAGATTGATTAGGATAAGCCGAGATTGATGAGGATAAGCCGAGATTGATGAGGACAAGCCGAGGTTGATGAGGATAAGCCGAGATTGATCAGGACAAGCCGAGATTGATGAGGATAAGCCGAGCTTGAGTAGGATGAGCCGAGGTTGACGAGGATAAGCCGGGATTCATCAGGACCAGCGGAGGTTGACGAGGATACGCCGAGGTTGATGAATAAGCCGAGATTGATGAGGATAAGCGGAGGGTACTGACGATCATCCGAGATTGCCGAAGATACGCCGAGGTTGTTCAAGATAAACCGAGATTGATGAGGATATATCGAGGTTGCTGCAAATGAGCTGAGATTGGTGAGGATACGCCGGGGTAAATGGGAATGAGTCGAAATTGATGAGGATAAGCCGAGATTGATGAGGATACACCGAGGTTACCGCGGATGAGTCGAGATCGATTAGGACAAGCCGAGGTTCCTGAGGAAAAGCCGAAATTGTCTGGGATGTCGAGGATGAGCCGAGGTTGCTGAGGATGAGCCGAGGATAAGCCGAGGTTGCTGAGGATAAGCCGATGCTTATAAGGATAAGCTGAGGTTGATGAGGAAACGCCGAGATTGATGAGGATAAGCCGAGGTTACTGCGGATGAGCCGAGATTGATGAGGATAAACCGCGGTTGCTGAGGATAAGCCGAGGGTGCCGAGATAAGCCGAGGTTGCTGAGGATGAGCTGAACATGCCGAAGATAAGCCGAGGTTAAGGATAAGCTGCGGTTTCTGAGTCTAAGCCGAGGTTGCCAAGGATAGAGCCGAGGTTGCCAAGGATAGAGCCGAGGTTGCTGAGGAAAAGCCGAGGATAAGCTGCGGTTACTGAGGATGAGCCGAGATTGTTGAGGATGCGCCGAAGATGTCGAAGATAAACCGAGGATTAGGATAAGCCCAGGATACGGATAAGCCGAGGTTGCCGAGGATAAGCCGAGGTTGCCGAGGATAAGCCGAGGTTGCCTTAAATAACGTTGGACTCGAACGTTGTGCGTTGGTGCTGATGTCGCCCCCGGTGTTTAACTTTCTGCCCCATATCCGTCTCGTTTTTTGGGCATGCTATCCTGCTGTATGCTGCACGGCGTCGACATGACCCGCCTCACGGTTTCGCTCAAGAATACCAACGGGGAGGGCGGAGAGTACCGGATCCAGACGCAGTTCCCAGAAGAGCATCCCTCAAATAATCCCTCAAAAGAGTACCGTAAGAGTCGGAGAGTTGGCACGGGCCGGAGAGATGGCACCGGTCGGAGAGATGGCACCGGGGTGCGATAAAAACATTTAAAAAAACGATCGCACCCGGTGCCAACTCTCCGACTCTTACGGTACGTGTTTGTACTTGAAGCGTGTGAGCGCGTTGGCCCTCCAATGGTACAAATAGATACGCATTTGCTGCGCAAACGTTTGGAGCACAACAGAAGAAAGTCGTCAGGGATTAGAGGTTGTTGTCGGCGCCATTGCGACTTGAGCGCGTCGTGGCGTCTTGAACAAGTGGCTCGATTGTGTGGTGCGGCTACGGTAGGTGGGTATGGGCGTCATCTACTTGGCTGGGCGTGGGTCGCAAACCTACGCGCAAGATGGCGGGGCGACCCTGACATTATGCGCTGTTTGTGAGGTTTTCCAAATGTTCGTCCTTCAACCGCTCGTCGTGTACATGTTGCACAAAGACCGTCTGTGGCACAAAGACCGTCAGTGGATCGCACTGTCGAACCTAAGCAGCAGTGAACAGGTATCACACTGCTGTATAATTCGCCTCCACCAGAAGAACATCTCCGGCACAGCCCCACTCCCCCTTGCGTTCGGGGTGTCGGCGCTAATGCGGTCTACGATAGACGTTTGTGGTGTGAAAGTGCAGAGACTGAGTGGCGAGGGCAACATACAGTCTCATCAAGTATAGGCAATGATCGGCTTCATCCTCACAGAACACCTTACCAGGGTGTTTCCTCACACCCTGGAACCACTAGGCACCCTGTACAGCCTTCCCACAGGGTGCTTACAGGGTTGCCCCCCCTGCCAAGGGGTTCCCAGGGTTAGCCGATTGGCCCACGGGTGCATGCAGCCGAGCAGTCTGGTGGCTTTTGTGGATGCATGGGTTGCCTACAGTGGTGCTGGCCGGGTTGCCTGCTGCTGTCTTGTATTGGTGAGCGTTTTGGTTTGTCGGGGACGCGCCTCCCGCAGCCCCGGGCACAAAGAAGCGAGAGAGATATATGTCCGGAGGTGTCCCCCCCCCCCCCCCCCCCCCGCGCTTGAAAAAATTTTAACGCGGGGGAAGGGGGGGTTTCCTCCCCTAAATGAAAGGGGGGTTTAACCCATGGTATTGGTGTAAACCTAAATGTTCAAAACTAACCCCAACGAAAAAAACATAAAGCTCTGTGAATGAATATAAAAGTGGGGACCCATAACACTAATAACTGGGAAAGGGTGGGGGTATTAAGTGTCCTTTTAACTGTGTTTTAAGAAGGGGAAATGTAAACACAACAATAAAATAAAAACGTCCTTTTCTAAAATCTAAAACAATAATCTCCCCTGCTGGTTTTTTTTAATAACCCTGGAAACCACTGTAACCTAAATGTTAACAATCTGGTGTATGCTGGGGCACAACTGTAACTGTAAAACATGGATGGGCCCCCCAAAGCGTGTTTTGGTTGGGTTACCACACCCGCTGTTTTAATGGGCCACCACCCGGGTGTTTGCTTAATCCAACAAAATCCTAATTTGGTTTTTGCTAAATATAATCATTTTATTATTAAAAAT